CTGCAGACATGCTGGTACCGCTGGCCCGGCGAGAAGGTCTGCGAGCGCACGATCACGCTGCTCCTCACCGCCGGCCGCTGCCGCCCGCTCAGGCTGCTGCGGTCTTTGGGCCGAACGGCCACGCTGGCACCTGCCTCGTCGGTGTTCGTCTCTTTATCAACCTAGAATCGAAGTCAGAAGTTTGTCAGGAGCTGAGAGGTGTGGATGTTTTGTTTCTTCTAAACAGGAAAGAAAGATCTAATCCTACAACAGAGACTCATCTCATGCCGGGTCACTTCTGAGAAGGGCTTCGCCCTGCTCCTGGTGGGAACCCAGGGACGTGGCTTTCTACCACGTTCTTAGGAAGCTTCCAGGGTGGACAGGAGAGCGTTACCCGTAAACGGAGGTGCCACCTCTAAATTCTCTACAAAGTTACAGGCTTACGGAGAATGCAGTGGTATGTATATGAATGTTAACAGCTGCTGCAAAGCGGAGTTAGGATTCTTACTGGATATTTGGAAATGTAACAAAAAAGTAAAACTTAAGTAAGAATGGAAGTTTCTCAAAATACAAACTGTACAGGAATAGGAGATGTTTACTGTTGATCCTGGGTGTACAACCTGACCCTAAACCTGCCTCCTGCTGGGATGTTCCTTTATAAGAGGAAGTCTTCAGTCAGGGTAAGTATTACTTTCCTCAGGAATGAAGAACTGGAATTTTCTAGACTCTATTACCCACATCCCAAGTTCGCCAAGGTCCTCAAAGCTTGAAAATGATCTGCCTCTTTGGGGATGATGGGCTTAGCACGTCTCTCACTTAACTAGCAGAGGTCCTGCTCACTAACCTGGCTGGCATCTGCACCTAAACAGAGTCATCTGTCACCTTCCAGAAGTGACAGCAGTCAGAACGCCAGCGCCAAAATGAACCTCAAATGTTTACCTCATGTTTGAAATGGAAGGAAACTTACATTTATGAAACTTATTACGATTAAGTAGTTGCCCTGGTATGATCCAGGAAATTCAAGATGCTTTTAATAAACATTCACGACACATTTACAGAGATCTAAAGAGAACTATTTATCTTCTTATATAAAGTTGGAGAATGACTATTTTGGGGCTATTTAAAATTGTATTTACAGTGTTTCTGACAGCCTATTTCCACAAATGCCTATCATGATAAGCTCTGGCATGGAATTGTAATTCACCCCAACAGACCAGTTCAGCCCGAGGGGGGCCTGTGGAGGTGGAGGTCTGCATAGGGGCATGTGCTTGGGGTGCTTACAAGCGTGGCTGCCCCAGTGGGGGGCTGGTTCCCCAGGTCCTGGGCACGGTTGTCCCCTCCCCGTGTTGTGTCTTTCTCCATCTCAGGCATATGCTGGCAGGAGCTTATGTCTTCTGTACAGCCACTGCCCTCTGGCAATTGACCTTCAGCCTCTTCTTCGGCCACAATTTCATCAGAGGCCTCTCTGAGCATGGTTAGCCTACAGTGGAGCAGAGCAAAGCACACTGTGGGCCCGGCTGGCATCTCCGTGAACAGTGCAGCCCTGGCGTGGCCCGTTGCCTGGGCAGTGACCTATGGCCTCACTCGCAAGGGCTGAAGCCATGTCTGTACTGGAACTTTTACTACAAAATGCTCATAAAAAATAAGATTATCACCATACTAACAATCTGCAGCACAATCACTGTAATTTGGTACTAAAAAAGGTGATTTAAATTCATGAAATTTGACCTAGTTCCTAGATAATAACATAGAAATATTCTGAAAAATCACATATAAAGCTTAATCCACCTTTCAGAAATACTGACCACTCATTGTATTACAATCTGGTATTAGTTATTCATTTATTCTAAGATTAATCATACAACAGAATGGAGTCGTGCTCCCTAAGAGTGAATAAAGGCATATGGATTAAAGGTCCGCACCGTCAACCATGCTCATGGTCTAGCAGAGTAAAGCCTGGTGTAAAGGCAGTTTGAATATGGAAATAACAAGGCCCTTAATGCTGTATAATCTTGCCTTTAACAGAAGTCATGGCATGGGTTCAGCTGCCACTGCGAGTGCGGCTCCAGAATATAAATACACATATAAATACAGAAATATAAATACTCTGTGATAAACTGTCCTGACAGGAAGCAGGAGAACCAGGATGGTTTAGAGTATCTCATGCTTTGTTGAGTTCTGTGTTCTTAGAAGGGAAACATTTTTGCCACGGGTAACTGGAAGTGGAGCTTTGACTGTGACTGGTGACACACCGACAAACTGGCACAGACTAACTGGTAAATGCTTAACTGTGAAATCAACATGGGGGGACAAGCAATGAGTCCTGAGTTATAAATTCCTTTATGTTATGTACTAAGAGTGTTTTTTTGAAATGTGTGTGTGACACAATTTGCCATTTTACACTCGCTAGGAAGGCTTACAGTCTTTGAAGATACCATGAGAAACCTCATTGCCACTCCCATATTTATGTTTTCTGCAGTGTTCTGATTTTTATTCACTATGAAGGGCTTCTGCTATGAAGTATACCTGCACCTTTTTACATCACTGTAGTAAGCTGTCCCTTCCAAACATCCACAATTTTGTTACTTATGATTTTTCTTGTCCCTCTAAGTTTGCAAAAAGTTTTATGTCTATGCACATTTGCACAAATGCATTAGCTATGTATGTACGCACATATACGTGTTAACAGTTCAAACGTAACAGTATAAGTAACTATATATACAAAATTAAGCTACACGATTTTATATAAACACTTAAAAAACTGATGAATTCACTAACATTTGTTTTTGGAGAAAACAGTGCACACCTGGAAAGAGAGTTCTTTATACATATGTGAATCTAGACAAAAGTTATAACAACCTTATCTTTTTTTTTTTAAAGGATGGTGTGTGGGAGGAGGGAAGATGAAAAAAAAGGTAAAAGTAGTAACAGAGAAAATGTCGACTCGGAGGCTGTGTTCTCCTACCTGCTCTGGCTTCCCAGGGCCCAAAGGGCACAGCGGGGAGTTTAAAGGAAGGGAGTCGGCTTTTAAATCCACCCGAGACTCTACGGTAAACTACCATACCTTTCAAAAAAGGTAGTTTAGTCTTAAAATTTTAAGAAGCTCTGGAAATAGGGTCAAACATTACTGAAGCAAGAACCAAGAATCTTGCATGTGTGAACTTTAACATTGCCCACGACATTGCCATCACTTCTGCCAACTCTCTGAAGACCACGGAGAGTCCTTCCCCGTGTGCTGCTCCTAAGAGCAGCGCGGCTTTCCACAATTTCAGAACAAGATTTAAGTCTACACAGGCCTCCCAGAGAAACTGAACGTATCCTCTTTGAGTTGCCGACAGCAACAGGAATAACGGGCTTACCAGTCTCCCTCTGGACCCCTGTGCTCGTCTTCCTGCCCCCCCGGTTCTTCTTGTGCCAATTCTTGTTCCACAGCCAGTAGCTCAGCTGATGTCCTTGCAAGTAAGGCCGACACCGCATCCTGGAGAATGTAAGACACAGGCCGATTAACATCATAGACCTGGAGGAATGACTGAAAACTCACCAGAGGGGGACTCATGCTTCCAGTTGTGAAAAGGAAGGTTGGTATTAGACCTCGTTCAGCTGAGGACGAATATGAAAGTTGAATACAATAAGTCAAATTCAAGAAACAAACAAACAAAATTCTTGCTGTTTTAAAGCAATAAGAGCAAGAAAGGCAATCAGGAGTAAAGGGACACCGTCCCAGGGAGAAGAGAGATGCCAGGGGGGATGCCACCATCAGGGCCACTCTTCTCCCTTGGGGCGTGTGTCAGTTCCTGTGCCGAGGCACAGAGGCTGAACAGACGGTGGCTTCCAACAGTGCTGGTAGGGTGCAAAGGTGAGGCCTGACCTGCAGGCTACCAAGGCAGTCAGCACGAGAGGAGCCAGAGAAAACGGACTGTAAAGTAGGCCCAGGAATCTGCATAATATTTCTGTGGAGGCATTTGCCATTCCCAGGCTGCATGTGTGCAGAACAAGAAGTCAGAAACAAAGCAAAAACCAGCTGTCGGAGGCCAAAACAGCAAAGAGACACTTCGGTCACCTCACGGTCCCACGGTCCTAGGGAGGGAAGAATTGGGACTCATGTCCCCTAAAGGATCCAGTCGATCTGCCCATACTGTAATCTGCCTTTCAGAAGAGTATTAAGGCCTCTCTGGAGGAAGACATCAGCCGGAGTCTTTACAGTTCTTCATGCATAATATCTAGCATCCCCCTGGGAACCAGGACCCAGGGACTGACAGCCACGAACAGCAGGACACAGAGAGGCAGACCTCCAGAGGACCCACACGCTGCAGTCATTTAGAGAAGGAGTTTACATTTTGCAATTGACATGTCCAAGAAATCTGATGAAATGATGGAGAATTTCACTAGTATAAACACAAAGAAAAAAATCAAAGAAAAAGAGGAAATCTTATAAGCAGTGAAAGAAAAAAGGCACATTACCTTTCAAGGATCAGCTGTCTCCCAACAGCTCGATGCATCAATGGAAACCAGATGACAACAGAATGATATCTTTAATGTGTTTGGAGAAATACCTGCCCACCTAAAATTCTGAATACATAGCTTCCTGTCCCCCCCAAAATAAGTCCTTCCCAAATTAAGTTAAAATAAAGACACCAATAGACCTGTACTGAAAGAAATCCTAGAGGGAATTCTTCAAGCAGAGGGAAGATGACCTAAATGGGGGCACCACAATGCGGAGTATGACACCCTGGGATGGGTGGAGGTGTGCTGAACTGTCGTAGCACCCTTGGGAGAAATAAGATACACAAGTCATTGAGAACATTTTAGGGCTTATTTCCCTCAAAGAGACTTGGTTGCAAAAGGCTACTTCTCACAAAGAAAACTACAGCCTGGGCTGGTGAATTCTCTTGGGAATTCTCCCAAATATTTAAGGGAGAGGTAACACCCATCTTACAAAGACTTCAGCAATGAGTAGAAAAGAAGGAATATACTTGCCAACTTACATTCTGAAGCCACTAAACCCTTGATATCAGAAACTGACAAAGACATTACAAGAGAAAAAAAATGAAAGACGAATCTCTCTCATGAACACAAATGAGAAAAACCCTCCCAACACAAAGTCAAGGAAATCAAATCCAGCAACATATATAAAACACACCACAATGAAGTCTGTTCTACTCCAGGAATCCAAGGGCAGTTTAACATTTAAAAGTCGATCAACTTATAATCTGCCACCTTAGGGAGACGCAGAAACACAGAAAGAGAGAGAGTGGTACCGCCCTACCGCCCTATCAACGTGGCTAAAACGGAAGAGGACACAGGTAAATACAGGTACAAGAACGCTAACAGCAGCAGAGGCAGAAACGAGTGATTCTTTTATAAGCTATACTTGAAACAAGCTGGAAATTATCTTTCTTTCTTTGTGTGTGTGTGTTAGCAAGCTGGGAGAGAAGGGTTAGCTGTGAAACAAGAAAAGCATAGTGAAAGTGAATAAAACACGTCAGCACCACAGCATTCTATATCCCATACAATTTTACTAAATTTTCATGTCTTCTTTCTCTAATTTTGACTCACCAAGTCTACAGACGCTAACAATGGCTGGTCTGGCTGGTATGCAGTACCCTCATTTTCCTCTTCATTCTTTTTGCAAGGCATTTGCTTAGAAGGAAGCAAGTTATACCACAGAGTGAAAATCTCACTGGAAAATGGTAAATCTGCCAAACTGATCTGAGTTCCAGCCTATGAGAAAGAAAGGAAAAAAAAACCCCACAGTGTTTAAATTCATTATTTGCTCCCCATAATATAATTGAGATTATTGGGCAAGCTTGTTTCTGGGTAAAAAAAATACAATACTCATGATACAAAGCATTGGTGGATTTCTTTTTTTTAAACCTGGAGATGGTGTGACTCAATAAGAAATAATCCCAATACTAAAAGCGAATCCTAGGATTATTTCGTGAGATACTATTTTGCCAAAACTTAATGACTAAGCATGCAACTTTTTGTAAGTATGGAATTATTTTTAAATGAAAAGTTGAAAAAAATGACTCAGCAGAAACTCTAATACATCTTCTAATGTACCATAAGAGTGATGTGATTATTTTGCACAAAATCCACTATCTCACTGAAAAATTTAAGAACAAATAAAAACTCCATGTAGTCCTTAAATGGGAAAACCAGATGGCAAAATTTTTCTTTGCATAAGTAAATTAGTAGAATGTCAAAGAGATGAAAGGATTTTATATTCTACCAAATCAAACACACCGGCCCAAATCTAAATTACTCTGTACTAATTTTTAAAAGGCTATCAATTCACATGTTTATTAACTCTACGGAGTATCTGTCATAAATATTTATTATCGTGTTTATTACTGTACTGAAGACAGCCTGATGAGTCAGTTAACTCTGCTTCTTTCTTTATTGTCAGGCACTAACGTCAAATATTTTTTTTCATATAAAGAAAAGAAAATGTTAAAGAAATCTATCACCCTTTCAAACTTTGTTCATAAAATGCGTGTTCTTTGTTTCCTATTGGACTGCAAAGTTCAACTAGAGACCGAAGCTAGTTTTTGGACACAAGTGCACACCTCTAGACGCTTCCATTTGAACACATTCTGTAACTCTACTGAGATGTAATGGTTTTCTGGCTATTAGGTGCAATGGTGTGTTAAACTCACCAGTAGTTGTATATGAAGTATTCTGCATAGGCATTTAAATACCGTATTGCTCTAAACAGCAACACCATGTCTTCCTAGAAGCTCTAATAGCCTGGCTGGGGAGAATAAGCTGAATGAAGAAGCCATATACTTTGCATCTTGCTTAATTTAATTGCAACAGTGAATTATGTGTGGGATGCCTTTTTGATTCTACTCCATCATTCCCTAGCTATGTGGCCATGGAAATATTACCTATTTAACTGAAAATAGGGGTGATCGTACCTTTTTCATAAGATTGTCATGAGAATTCAATGAGATAATGGACACAAAGCACCCAGCACGAGACTCTCGTACTGGGAATAACAAACTTGGTCCACGGTGATAGTCATCATAGAGGTCAGAGTTCTGCTTCAGCCAAAGGATAGGAACGAAAAGCAGATTTTATAGAAAATCACAATGTAGAAGCAGATTTTAAAGGTTTGGAATAAGAAAATGAAAACTAGAAATCAGCACTTCATATAAAATGAAACAGCCATTGCATGTGCCGGAGGCAGTGGGCAGATGTGTAGTGGAATCAGCGCTGGCAAAGAGCAACTGGAAAATTATTCCCAGAATAGCCGGTCAGAGGTGCTGTTTGACAATGGTAATACTGGAAAGTCTTACCAGGCATTCTTCCCTTCGATGTTTACTAACAGAGCAAAGATCCACCCTCAGCGTCTTCTGCTGTAAGGCTGTTTGGGAAATGGCCACTCTGAAGACATCATGGAATAAAACGGATTCTGTGGCTGCGTGGACTTTTGTTCGAAACAGACAGCTGACGTCAGTTGAGGAGGGCAGCAGGGCGACCCTGAAATACCTGTGAAGGACCAGAGTGAGGTGGGCTTCAGGGGGTACTGCAGGCCGGGAGGGAAGGAGCTCACCAAGCAGGCATGGTGACTTTGCCCCAGAGACGCTCACTATCACTTCCCAGCAATGGAGCGCATTATTCTACTAGAGAAAAATAAAGGCTGAAAGGTATCCTGTTAAGAAAATTTAAAACACATGAAACTTAACAATTCAAAATACCATTGTCTAGCATCTCAGAAGTCTCAGATACAACAGACTGTCTTAAGAGTCTGATGCTTTGTAAAATTCAGGGGAGGAGTTATAGAAAAACAGCAACTTGTAAGACCACTTTAAAGCAAATTTTCTCAGCACACATTATTGCGGACTCACAATTCTTGGAAACACTGCAAGGTATTTTCTTTTACATCTCAGAAGGGAACACCCATGAAATCCCTCCCCCTCATTTCCAGGCTTGTATGGTTCACATTCTAAAAGACACCTTTCTCCAATTACAGAAACTATGACTTCACATACAGAACCGAGGACATGTCCTATTAGTTCTGTATTTTACATCAACGTGAATTTTGGAGATCTGGCATTGAAAACTTAGTGGGCTTTGGGCCACTGCCATCAAGGCTGAAGGCTGAGCAGAAGAAATCTTGGCTGCCATCCTGGAAGAGCAGCAAGAGGAACCTCCTGGGGAGCTGGGCTGGAGAGGAGGAAGGGTCTGCTTCTCCAGACTCCAGTTCTCCTCTGTGCCAGCGGCCCGACCGCTTACATGACCCTAAAATACTTCCACGTGACAGAGTGAGGTTTCCGTGGTTATGGGCCAAAGGCACAGCGGACAGAAGGTAAGGGGGTCTTCCTCCCGCTCTGTGGGGCGGGGGGCTCTCTCCACACTGGAGTCAGGAGCCGCTCATGGAAACACCACGGCTGCTGCCAACCAGCTGAAGCATAAACTCTGCTTGTCATAATTAACAACTAAAATTAAGCTAAGTTAGGGGAGGAAAATAACTATTTTAAGGATATTTCATAGGAGTTACCATTTTGAGCACTGTCATTATTTGGGCCAAGGCTTTCCCGCATGGGTTTAAGAAAATGTCGCTGTGCACCCAGGAAGGCTCAGATGCACCGGAGGAGCAGCCACTGCCCACCGTCGACATCCTGCATCTGCAGGCTATCCTCACGCCTCCAGGGGGCGCCTGGCTTCCCCTGAGGAAGAGACGGAGACTGGTCTGGCAGGGGTAGAACCTGCGGGAGGCCTGTTCTTACAGTCCGGGTTCTTGGGGCGCTCTGTCGTTTCTTCCTGGACTGCCAGGTGGGCTCTCAGTGTTCACAGATCAATCCCTGGGGCACCCCTCACACTAAAACTGAAAGGCTGCCAACGGCACACTGCAGTACCTCAGCATATTATTGGTGGAAATAGTCACAGATAATTTTATCGAGCCACCCTTCCTCGAATTCCTAATCTCAGGCTGGGAAGCAGTCTCCCCGGCTGCTCTACCGCTCCCCCTTAGGCCATCTTCCTTACTGGTCCCCTAAGCCCACTCCCCTCCTGGAATCCTATCCCCCCAGCTTTGAGGATCGTCAGTACCTAGACATGCCCGAGTTCTGTTCTTGTATTGCCCACGAAATCATCTCCCTTCGTTTTTTCCACTTAGGTCCAGTTTCCTCTCTCTGATGAATCTCAGAGTATTACGATATGAACTTAGTAAACTGTACGGAAAGCACCCAGGGCTTTTCCACTTATGAAATGTCCCTCTGATTGAGGAATATACTCTATTACTATGGAAAACATCCATCTGGCTGGGAAGAGTCTTGGGGGTCACCCCTCAACAGCTCTTTCTTATTTCCACACCCTTGTCCTGGTATATGCAACATACTATTAAGTGCAGATGGACAGATAACTTCTGGAGTCTAAGTCAGAGGTGCTAAGCTGAAACCTGGCTTCTTTCTGGGACTTTCTAGCCATGGCTCTTAAGAGAGTCACTGAAACTTTTTCTCCACAAAGTGTGAATGGTGGTAAAGATCTCTAGAAATATCTGTCAGGAAACCAAGGGTCCCTAAGCAATAGACTGTGTAGCATTACGCCGTTACTTTGTGTGGATTGTGGTTTCATGAAATGAACTAACTTAAAGTCAAATGATTTAATAAATTCTTGGTCATAGGGAAGTGAATGCTTAATGGTAAGAACATGATGCTCTTGCATGAAATATGATACTATGCTTGGCAAACTGTACTGATCAAATAAAACTTAATCATTACATTTGCATGTAAAAGACCAGAAAATTCCTCCAAACCAATGGAAGGCAACAGTGAAAATTTGAATTATTTTTCAAAAATATCAGGGCCCAACATAGCATAATACAGAATCTCTGATTGAAAAGGGAGATACTTTTAAAAAGTCTTGGTTCTTATTCTTAATAATGAACCTCAGGTCGAATAGGGATCAAAACCCAATATGCTCTTCACCCCTTCTTCTCTCTGGGTCATCTGCTGGTGCTGAGGTGTGATCAGTCCTGCTACGACTTCTCCATACCTTCTCTGGCCGAACTGCTGGGTTACAATTGCAATGAACATATGTGGACGATGTTAAGTTCCTCAATTGGTTCTTTACTGATTTTACTTACACTTTTGAAGTATGAGGTATCAAGAAGGCATGAAGATTTCGGAGTTGTGCTAAAATCACCATGAAGCTTGACCTTTTCACGTCGTATCTGCTGAAAGAGAAGCTGATGAGATTTGGGAAGAGCGCAGGCCCCTGGCCGCTGCACAGAATTCTAGGCTGCCCCTCCGCCCGCACACAGCCCTTTACCTGAGTCCGATCTGCACCTGCGCCGTCTCCAAGACGGCGACGTCCTCTTCGCTGTAGGTAACATCTTCAACCTCACTAGGCCTAGGCACAGGGAAACAGCAGGCAGAGGTGAACAGTTTATTAACACGGACACTGACTGGTACGGTTCCTGTCTGCCACTTAATGATTCCGAATGTAAACCTGAATGAGCAGCATTCCTATACCAGCCAGTGGCCCTGCGCCCCATGGAAGATCTCACACTGAGGGCTTTCTTCACCCTGCTAAGAGCACTCTACCTCCGAGCCTTTAGGGGAGAGAGCTTCCTGACACTCCCTGGGGTATACCACACCCCTAGACACATTCCAGGCTTTCAGAAACACACAAGGGAAGCTTCAGGGGCCAAACGGGCACTGGCCAACGGCTCCAATATTCTCATTTAGAAAAACGAGAGTTTTAAGTTTCAAAGGCAGTTGGTTGTTGAGCACACCAACCTGTTTGTCATTTCCCTGACAGACAGGATGCTTTTGTAATACTGAAATTTCAGGCACACCATTTCTTTACCGCCTACAGCGTTCACTGCCGCGCAGTGAACTAAAGGCAGGGTACGTTTGGAATCTGTGACCCACACGCGCGGCATGAGGAGGCATGGGTCATGGAAAGCAGTCCTGCCGGGTCCTTACTGTTTCACGAAAGCTTCATAGACCCCACTGTCTCCAGCCACAGACTCGTCAGATACGGCAGCTGACACACAAGTGGCTTTCTCCCCAAGCAGGTGGATGACTCTTCTTTTTGGTAATGATTTTTCCACATCTAGAGAGGGGAAAGTGATTTCTTATTAGGGTAAGTTTGGTATAAAACACACACATAGCTGGACTATGAGAAATCCAAACTGAAATTTCCACCTGAGAATCAAGGATGTGCCTATTCACATCAAGAGCTGTGCATGATTCCAGGCACTATGACTTAGAAGATTCCCGAGAGGCCGGTTATTTGGGTCATTCTTTGAGAAAGACTATGGGTTTTTTTGGTCCTGAAATATTTTCAGGGAAGGGAGGAATGACACGTTCTCAGCGGTCCCTCATTCTCTCTTTCAGGTACTCTCGGCAGCTCTCATTCACTGGAGGTACGAAGCGCTCTGCCTCCCTTAAGTATTAAAGATATTTCTGTAACAGAGAGAATCTAGCAGCTCAAGAAAGGTTTCTGCCTCTTTACTCTCCTCCTCTCTCCACAGGCCATATTCTACTTTTCCTGGCTACTACCCTAGTGGAAGTGCAAGGAAAAAAGTCTTTGACTTATAGAATTTCTCACCAGCTAAGACCATGATGCAAAACTTTGTGCTATTGAATCTGTAGCAACGACGACCACTTAACTTTTATCTCTACCTCATATTCATACACTGCATCCTGAAGCAAGCACAGAGCATTTTAAAGCTGCATTCCTATATAATAAGCTGCCAGCCCGTGGGGTTCTTTCATCTGCACCAAGCAGAGTGGGGATCAGGATTGGTATGCATCTCGCCCCCTTCTGAGTTGTGACTTTACATCTTGTTAAGATGTTTAAGTTTTAGGGCTTCAGATTATAGGATTGATTGCTGCATTTCCCCTTTTATTTCTGGCAGTGGGAATGCTTTTTCCTTGATGATGAAGTGCCTTCCCTCCGCCCAGCCCCCTTCGTGAGGGGTGAAAGTGATGACATGATTTATTGATTACCCCCTGGAATAACCGCAGCAGCCCGAAACTGACTTTGACAGTGACAGAGACTTGGCTGTGGAAGGACTTCACAGTTTTTCCAGCTTGGTCTCTGTCATCCGGCGGGGACTGGCGCTGGAGAGCAAGGGGCCCAGAAGAGGAGCTCAGCTTCTGCTGCAAAAGCCTGGAGCTCTGAGGGAGACGAACCGGGTCACTACCAAGAGCCCCCGTCCCACGTGAAGCTCAGATGTACCCCGAATGGACCGAGTGCCAGAGACCAGATCCGAAGAGAATTAGTCTTTAGGGCCAAATACATGCTTTCAGTTGTTTTGACACATGAAACTGAACTTAATTTGCAAACAAAGCTCAGGGATATATTTTCTCCTAGGGCGACTTTAACTGCAGTTTTCTGATATTATACTCCAGTCAGGTGTCATGAGGAAGGCAAGGGCTGGGCAAAAACGCTGCCAGACGAGACGTGGGCGCCCGGGACCTCCAGGTGGGGACAGAGCCTGTGGTCCTCGCTGACCCCGCCCCCTTCTGCAGCCAAGTCCACTGGACGTTGAGAAGTGGTCACTGGAGAATACTCCACATACGCGAGGGGCAAAACCAGCTTTGGAATGCTCCAGAAATGCAAGATCCTTCCAGTTCAAAGCAAGGGGAATGACACAGAAACGATTCCCCTTTCTTCTGTCTCCGTTCGGAAGTTTTATCATTTTGTGTTGAGCAGAGTTTCAGGGCCTTATCATCGTGGGGTGACATTAACCGCCGAGAACTAAGCGGAAGTACTGGGCAATGCTTCCCGGTGCTCTGGGGGGACAAACTAGCATCCTCATTTTGCAGATGAGCATCAACGAGCCGGAGAGACTGGGTAACGTGCTCGCCAGAACACGGCCAGTGAAGGGGGCAACCAACCAAAGCAACGAACGTTTGAATGCAGGCGGGGGTCGGGAGCGGGCGCCCAGGGCGGAGCGCCGGCCCCACACCGTGCACGCCCCCTGCTGGCGGCAGCCAGGGACGCCCTACCTCCGGGCTCTGCGGCTTGCAGCCCTTCTGTAAACACGGCTCTGGCGCTGATATTCTCTGTGGTTGGTTATTTTGGTAGCAAGTGACTTGTAGCTCTGGCACCGGCCAGGAGCTGCACGCAGACCACGTACGTCTCCGCACCCTGATTCTGCCCCAGGCCACTGGCAGGTGGCGGTTCTGCTTTCAGCACTCGAAGTCGCACAAGCAAGATGGAATTCCTATCTCTGTAAACATCTGAATTGGCCAATCTATGAATACTTTGGATTCCTAGGACCATCAGCACAAAATAAATACACTTCTGAAGAGCAAGAAAATACTTCTCAAGAGGCCTGTCTTCTTCCGTGCTCTGGACACATGGTGACAAGTGCCCGTCTGAGCAGGGTCCTGGGGGCCAGTGCTGGAGCGGTCACTTCACACTTGGTTTCAGGCTAGTTCTGGAAGGCACCACCCCCCTCGAACCACACCTCGGTCATTTGCCAATAAGGGTGCCATCTTGTTCAGTTTACAACCACATCTAGGATACTAAATAAAGCCTCCACCTCACAAAGGAAAACAATTACAAAAAAATCAAATTCTCCTGTCTCAATACAAATGAGGGACTCAGAACTTTCTTGGCTGCAACCAGGAACATGGCCAGAAGATGGCAGAGTGACACTGTGCATGAGAGCCCGCTTTTCCCAAGTCAACTTCAGGCGGAGACGGGAATCTGGCATGAAACAAAGACCGTATTTATATAGAATTCCCTGAGCAATCTAAACACTGAACCCTAGTACTCATTAGCTGGTGTGCTAACTGCCTTGACTTTAATCTGTTTTAGACCAGCTTTTAAAAGAAAGCCCTCTTCTTTGCCTTGCTATTTCAGAACCAGAATCTACTTGCAAGTATTGTGTTCACAAAATATGTTCCCAGTCACCTCCTGCACACAGAGCATTTCTGGACAACATAGCAGGTACTTGGTGATTAAATCTATTAAACAGGGAAGCCTATTTTTATTTGATAGAGAAAAAATGTCTAGGTGTATCAATGAAAACTCCTTTTCAAATGAAGCCAAAATGAATAGGTAACGGACAGAGAAGGGGGCTAGTACCGTTTGTCTATATGGGAAAGTAACTCTCCAGTCATTCTTCTTAAAATTATTAAGAGGGGATACATGCAAGCAAAGGTCTCCATTACCTGCTGTTCCTTCATACACGGGCTCCCCAGCACACTCATGGAGGTCCTTATCCTCTAGAAGAGCGTGGGATGCGCCTCCTGAACTGGAGTCCAGCAACATCGGATTTTCACCGAGGCCAATGTCTGCGAAATGATCACTCAGTTCACAGTCTTCAAAGTCCGCAGTGAAGTGATGGAGAGCGCTGTCATGAGAAGACATGGGAAACGCGCCTTCCAAGACCAAGGGAGAGCCAGGGGGGGACAGGGACGAGAGGGAGGACCGCGAGGACAGGGACGTCACTGACGTGGGTGCCTCGGTCAGCGGGGGAGGGTGGCCTGTGGCTGCGGCCGCCGCCCTGCAGGGAGTGCTCTGGCCCGTCTGGCTGGGGGACTTGACCACTTCGTTTTCATGGATGGTGGTGATTGGTCCGGAGGGAATGTAACCGCCTTTCTCCTGCAGGAGGAAGTCCAGTTTATACTGATAATCCGCGTCCATCTGGTCGCCCGGACCGGTGTAATAGAGCTCGCTGGAGCTGAGGGAATTGAGTGACCCTCTGCTGGAGGTGTTCAGAGACCCCCGGCTGGAGGCTAGGGAACCCAGGCTGCTCCCAGATGACACGGACAGGGTGCTGGCGGAGAGGCTGGGGGAAGAGAAGCGCACGTTGTAAAAACGGTCACAGTGTGCAGAACCCAAGAGCAACGCTTGCAGGCTCGTCTGGACCCCAGAGGATCCCAGCGAGGCCGAGGAACATGACGGCCGCGACGAGGGCCCTGCCATCAGCTAGCGTGCCGCCCACCGCCATGCTCATCTGTGGACGCTTCCAACCTGGCTCTCTAAATACTCTCTAAGCAACAATTCCAGTCTTATTAAAAATCATCCCTCTTGCATAACATTTTTTTTAAAAAGGGATCAAATACTTACTGATAAATCTACCTACACAGGCATCCATAAGCAGCTATGCAATTTTAAATACAGAAGGGTAAAAAATGGTACAAATAGTACGCAGTGCTAATGCAGTTATTTTGTTTAAGAATAAAGCTTTTTATTCTGAGAGGGGAAATAAAGCAAGTTTATAAAGCAAGTTTCACATGGGCTCCTGGGCTCACTCACCTTTCCTCTTTTCTGTGTGTATTTAGGGAGTATGTGGCAAACTATTTTAAGGCAAATTTCAAAGAAGAGGTGACATGGAGAAATGTGTCATTCTCCTAAGTATGTCCTCATGGCTGACATATATCTGCCTCCTCCCACACACTTCAAACGTATTCCAAATATGACCCTGGGGTTCGTGAAAAAGAACTCTTTGCAAGTTTAAATTTGGTCATTCAACTTTTAATTCTACCAGTGTTAACTCTTTTGTTTACCTCTAAATCATTGAAAATAAAGAGAAAAGTAATCAAAGCTGAACCAAAACATGCCCGTATACAGCTAAGAAACAAGTTCCCCTGGAAAGCCCAGGGGCTTACCTTTTAAGTTGTGAATGCAAAGAAGTAGTTAATTTAGTAGTTTCTTCAAGTTTCTGTAGCAGCTCTTTTCTTCGCTCCTCCAATTTCAATCTAGGAAAAAAACCAGAATTTATTTATTTATTTATTTTTGAATTTATTTTTATGTCATTATGATAAAGCACTGAAAACTGAAAGAAAAGAAAGATTCTCATTATGATGCAAACTTCACAGACCCCGAGAGGGGAATCCAGATGAACTCGACAGACAGAAAGCAGACGAGCCGGCAGGAAGGAAAAGTGGCCAGAACCCCCTGCAGCCAAACTACACGAATGGGGGCATCTACACCAAATCTCTAGTGTTATGGAGCATTGGAAAACTTTTGTATCCAAAGTTTTATTAAATGGGTAAAAAAAA